GATTGCTGAATTAGTTATGGAAAAGGTGATGAGAACACCATCAGTCATAGTGACAAACCTGAACTATCACCTAGCTCTCCAGTTGCTCTTGTGCTCCCTGTAGAACATTTTAGCATGTACATTCAACATTCTGACACAAACAAGCATCCAAATGAAAAAATCTCCAGTTCTGCTGGTTGAGTAAAACCACTATTTGCAAACAAGGTCCTCGTATCCAACCTGTCATTTGATCAAAATTCCTTTTATTCTTGTACGACAGAGTATTACAGTCACATCTGAGATTTCAGAGCATAGTGTTAAAGAAAGAATCATTATATTATGAGAAAAAAGCCATAATAGGAAGTCATTTTGTGAATGTTTAGCATCTTGTTAAGTTATACTCTGGTAAAAGTTTCACACATAATGCAATATTTCCTCTTTTGGCTCATCAGAAAATATTGCATTGTAAACTGTGTCTATTCTCGAGAAAGAACCACGCAGACTTGCAGGAAATCCCCTCTTTTGTGGAAATGTTTGTTGGTGGTTGACTGCGAGGTTATTGTTGGTTATATCTGCCTGTTAATAAAGAGGTTTTTCTCCAAAAACAATGAAATTTATAATCGAGAATTATGAATTCTGATATTATTCTTGTAATTTAACTCTCAAAATCTCGACATAATTTTCTTTAAAATGGCCATCGTATTATTGCATACTAGATAATGATACACTTGATTGTAGCAGTATTAGATCGTAGTACTGTACTGATTCTCAAAAATACTGTTATATTTAGTTTATATTTCAACCCTGACCACTAGCTAAGAATTTTGTAATCTAAATTGAATGTCACTAGACTCTTACTAAACCACAGCCCTACTGCATTAATGTCCTTCCTTTTACTGCTTAATTTGCTAAATATGGAGATGCTTCCTCTGTGCAAGTGTAACTCACCGGAATACTCCCAGCAGTCTTCATGAATTTTCAATGAATTATCTACACTTTACTGTAGACAGTTTATTTACAGTTTGCTGCAGTTAGTTCTCAGTTGTCATGGTGAAGTTTATGGCTTTAAGCTGCAGAACACAATCACTCTTCATGATGGCCAAGAGCAGGGACCAAGGTAGAAGTAGAATTACTTTCAAATTGGTAACTTTTAGCAAGTGCTTTGTCAAACTCATGACAGGTTTTCCAAACCGAACTTCTCTCCTGGAGTGTTTGTGGTGTTCAGCAGAGACTTCCTCACACGGTTAAGCTTTAAAGTGCTTCCTTCCATTCGCCTATTTGCTATTCACTTCACAGCTAACTCCTACAGCTTTGAAACACTTCCCCTCTTCATCATCTCATTGTTATGGGGAGCAGGATCTCTCCTATCCTATATTCCTCACATTTTTGTTTTGGAGTTGACTTCAGTTGGAATGGCTAATATCACATTTTGACCACAGGAGCAAGTCATATTGAACTGTGCTCTTTACTCCTACAAAGAAATACTTTGAAGATACTCAAACTTTTATCATCATATTACCGTGTTAGACGCTCACTTGTTACTGCAGCCGTACACATTTGTAAACATTTTAAAACAGTGAAGCTCGTTCATACCTCACTACTCCAGGTGTTATTTGTTATGAACAGCAGTATTCAAGGGTTGTTTGTCTGAGTCATGGAGCAAAGCTCTCCTCTGGGAGTTATAAAGCTTCCTGTATTTTTGAACCCTACCGTATAATTTCCCCTTCACACATATTCACAGGTATATAACTGTTCAATCTCTTATTGGGGCAACTGTGGCTCTGGAGTTAGAGCGGTCGTCCTCTAACCAGAAGGTCAGCGGCTCAATCCCAGTCTTTCCCATTCTGAATGCCAAGTGTCCTCGGGCAAGATACTGAACTGTCCATTCTCATGGAGACAAGTGCTGCACATAGATGCACTGTATGAATGTCTGTGTGAAGGTAAAACTGTACTGTAAAGAGCTTTGAGTGGTCATCAGGACTAGGAAAGTGCTATAAAAATATGGACTTTAACATTATATAATTCAGCCTGTCAGTAAGGCTGTAGTCTATAATTACATTGCAAACTATGAAATGTTTCTGATCATTTCTCTCATCAACCTTTCAGACCCTGATATCTGGAGCGGTGGTGGAGCAGTTGGACTTCCTGCGTGTTAATGAGGCAGAGTAAGAGCTTCCTTCAGTTTTCATGCATGATTGGTCCGAGGTCAGAGCTTTTGCCCTGATCCAAGTTGTTAAACTGATGTGTAGCTGACACAATGATCTGAGCTGAAATATTTTTTTTCAGGATCAATAGAGTAGCTAAGCATAAAATAACAAACTATCAAAGGAATGATGCTCACACCATTATCATTTTTTTCCATTACTTCTAAATGGGAAATATTGCAAATGGGAAAAACAAGCTGTTAAGCAGTTAACTGCGCGTGTGTGTATGTATAGGATCTCGGAGTTTAAGAGCTTTGAGGAGCTGGAGCTGCCTAAACACTCCAAGGTGAAGCGTCAGATGAGTACCCCCAACGCCTCAGAACTGGAGCAGCAGCCAGAGATCAGTGTGGAGGAGTGGCTGGACAAGCCCACCCATGAGATCATCAAGAAGTTCCACGTGAGTTGGTTGTCTTCAGGGGAAAGGGTCCACACACACACACACACACACACACACACACA